TATATATGTCCCATGGACACAGACAATAGGGTGGTGAAGGCCTGGGGTGGGGGCAGGCTGGAGGGGATCAAAGGGGGATAAATGGTGATATATGTAACACTTTGTACAATAAATAATCTACTTATATAAAAACCCTGGGTGGTGTAACATCACGACCAATCTAGCGACCAAGTGGAAGGAAGTCGGTCCTGCAGGGGTTGTCTTGGCAACCGCTGCACCCTCCCCCGAGCTGTTTCCCAGAGCTGTTTCCTGTAAGGGCGGGGTTTGAGGCAGAAACCTGCCCTGGGAGTGTGGAGGCATACCTTTATAAAGTGTGCCACGCCAGCACGGCCAAGGGTGAACCTGAGTGGGGGCGGCTGAAAGGCTTAGAAAAGACAGACAAGAGAATGAAAGCTGGGTCTCAGTGGGACAGTACTTCTCTGAGAGACAGCAACCACGCCCACAGCCATGCCTTTATTTTATAGCAGATGCTACGAGGCAAAGTAAGGGCATGACCAAGATGTTTACAACATTTGCCTGGGTTTCAATCCTACTCAACTACATGGACCTGAACTCTATCAAGCCTACATCACTCAGGCACGTGGGGCCATGTATTCGGACCATAGGTTCAAGCTTATAACTACAGCTGTTGGCTATAATTGTGCTGGGAGGGCCCTGCCCTCCAAGCTGGGACTTGCACGTGGCAATGAGAGGACTGTGCCCTCTCATCAGTCCAAGGCTTGAACCTGTCCAAAACACTGTAGCGGCTCCCCACAATAAAAAGTTTTAATTCTGCTTCTTTGTTACTGATGTTGTGGCCCCACCCCACAACAAAGAAACAATTTCCAGAGGATGAGGCCCAGGAATTGGGATTTTAAAAAGCTTCCCACGTGATTCTTATGTGCAGCCAAGGTTGAGAACCACTGCTATAGATAATATTAAAAATATATCTAAATGTGCAATTCTTTGTCCAAAAAATGAGCATGTTCAAAATTAAATGGTTTTAAAACGTGTTCTTGTAACTCGAAGGGTTCTGCTTGATTCCAGTGTGTGTCATTTTCAGAATGAAAGATAAAATAAATCTGTAGAAATGTGCTAAGACCCAGCACCCCTTATTTTGTGATTTATCAGAATGTAATCATAGAGCAGACTTATACTCTGGTTTTATAGGATAAACGCTTATATTTCTCCTTCAAGTAAGATACTGATTATACTGTACACGTCTGTGAATTTATATATTATGCCAGTCCTTAAAGGATGTTGTTAGCCAATTCCTGCTCAAAAATAATCCTCTGGTGCCCTCCTGTGGCTATTCAAGGAATAACAACTTGCGCCTCTGTCCATGGTGCTGCAATCCAGGCAAAGCCCTGTGAACACGACCAAAAATTCTATCCATTAAGAAACACCAGCACAAAATCATCGAAGCTGTCCAGGGCGGCAATCATTCTGTAGTCACGGCCCTGTGTTCTTCACCTCCTCCCGCCCAAGGTCTTAAAAGGGAGGCCCCTGTAGACTGATGCACTGAGGTTCCCCTTATGGTGACGCACCCACCCTGCCTGATATGTCTGTTGGTGCCGTTTTTAACTAGAGTGGTGAGTGTATGCTTGGCAAGCAAATGCTCTAACCAGTGAACAACACCAGCTACGGGTTCTATTCACTTTTAAAAATATAAATTTTAGCTTGGTCAAGGGTTAGAGTTCAAAGCTAGGGCTGGGGCTAGGGCTGGGTTTGGTATTAGGGTTTTAGGGTGAGGGGTCATGGTCAAGGTTGGGTTTGGGGTCAGGGTCAGAAGTGGAAAAGGTGAATTTTCTATGGAAATGGAGGATTTGCTTTGCAAAAGTTGAATTAGCTTTGCAAAAGGGGAATTTCCTCTGCCAAAGGTGTATTTGCTTTGGAAAAGGTGAATTTTAACTGTAAAAGGTGAATTTGTTTTGTAAATGGTGAATTGGCTAGCAAAAGATGAATTTGGGTTGCAAAATGTGAATTTGTCTGATAGTATTTCAGAAGCATCCAAATGAGTCGTCCTTTTCAGGATTCTAGTAAATTCCAATATTGCTTCCTATTTTTTCAAGTGACTTGAGTGACATTAAGGTCATTATTCCTGAGTATTTTCTTTACCTAGCGAATTAGGTGTAAATACATTTTTTCTGAATAAAAAAATTCTAGTGAATAGTTTGGTGGCTTAGCACAGTGGGTTTGAAACGTGTTTTTGTAACTTGATACCTATGCCTGTCTCTTTCAGAATGAAAGATGAAATAGTCCTGTAGAAATGAGCTAAGCACAAGGATTCCTTATTTTGCGATTTTCAGAATGTAATCCTAGAGCAGACTTATACTCTTGTTTTATAGGGTAAACGGTTTATTTCTCCTTCAAGTAAGTTACTGCTTATACTGTACTCGTCTATGCATGTATGTACTTATGACAGAACCCTCAAAGGATGCTGTTAGCCAATTCCTGTGCAAAAACGATCCTCTGCTGCCCTCTTGTGACCATTTAAGGAATAACACCTTGTGCTTCTGTCCGTGGTGCTGAAATCCCAGCTAATGTCCTGTGAACACGATGGAGAAATTATACCCAGAAAAAAAACCAAAACCACACACACAAAATCATCGAGCCTGTACAGGGTTTCAATCATTCCGTCCCTGGATGGACTGAAGTCACGGGTCTGGCTTTTGCACCTCTTCCCATCCCAGCCCTGCAAAGGGAGGCCTTGGCTGTTGCACTGACATGGTGAACCTGTGCGTTCCCGTGGTCATTCAGAAACCTAGAGGCTGCCGTTATTGAGGCACCCAGTACCTTGTAGGCCGCCATTTTTGATGCAGCCAGTAACATAGAGTCCGCTATGATTGCGGCATTCCGTAACCTGGAAGCCGCCATTACTAAGTCAGCCAATGCCCTGGATGCCGCCATTCTTGAAGCCGGCAGTCCGTACAGCGAGGTGTGAAGCATCGCGAGACCCAGCGACCTAGCGAGAGAGTGCCATTACTGAGGCATTCGCTACCCTAGAGTCCGCCATTACTGAGTCCGTCCGTACAGCGATGTCTCCGCGATTGAGCTTGCCCGTACAGGGCAGGTGGCGTTTACTGAGGCGGCCAGCAGGCTGCAGCAGCAGCATATACTGAGGCAGCAAGTTCGCTGTAGGTCGCCGCCCGTGTGACCTGGAGTCCGCTATGAGTGCGGCATTCCGTTCGGTGGCGGCCGCCATTAGTGAGGCAGGCTGCATACCGGAAGCCGCCATTCCTGAGACAGGAAGTCCGTACAGCAAAGGTGTAAAGTTCCGCAAGACCAGGCGAACTTGCGAGAGTGCGCCGTTACGTAGGCACCCAGTACGCTGGAGTCCACCATTACTGAGTCCTTCCATACAGCGGTGCCTCCGGGACCGAGGCGGCCCGTACAGGGCAGGTGGCATTTATTAAGACAGCCTGCAGGCTGCAGCGGCGCCTACTGAGGCAGCGAGTTCGCTGTAGGCTGCCGTGCGTGTGACCTGGAGTGAGCTTTGAGTGCGACATTCCGTACGGTAGCGGCCGCCATTTGTGAGGCAGGAAGTCCGTACAGCGAGGGTGTAAAGTACCGCGAGACCAGGCGATGTCGCGAGAGTGCGCCGCTACGTAGGTGCAGCATATGTTGGAGTCCGCCAGTACAGAGTCCTTCCGTACGTCAGTGCCTCCGGGACCGAGGGGGCCCGTACAAGGTAGGTGGCGTTTTCTGAGGCATCCAGCAGGCATCAGCGGGCTATAATGAGGCAGCGAGTTCGCTGTAGGCCGCTGGCCATGTGACCTGGAGTGCGCTTTGAGTGCGACATTCCGTACGGTGGCGGCCGCCATTTGTGAGGCAAGAAGTCCGTACAGCGAGGGTGGAAAGTACCGCGAGACTAGGCGACGTCGCGAGAGTGCGCCGCTACGTAGGTGCATCATTCGTTGGAGTCCGCCAGTACAGAGTCCTTCCGTACGGCAGTGCCTCTGGGACCGAGGCGGCCCCTACGGGGCAGGTGGCATTTACTGAGGCGGCCAGCAGGCTGCAGCGGCGTGTACTAAGGCAGCGAGTTCGCTGTAGGCCGCCGGCTGTGTGACCTGGAGTCCTTTATGAGTGCGGCATTCTGTTCGGTGGCGGCCGCCATTAGTGAGGCAGGCTGCGTCCCGGAAGCTGCTATTCGTGAGGCAGGAAATCCGTACAGGGAGGTTGTACCGTACTGGGAGACCAGTCGACCTCACGGGAGCGCGCCGTTCGTAGGCGCTGAGTACGCTGGAGTCCACCATTACTGAGGCAGGAATTTTGTACAGCGCCGTCATAAAGTCTTAGGAGTGCAGGCGACCTCGGGGGAGTTGGCCGTTGGGGAGGCATTCGTTGCCCTGGTGGTCACTTGTACTGCCTGTCCTCCGTGAACAATGCAGCGAGGATGGGACAGGTCACCTTTACTGAGGTCACTGGTTGCTAGCTACCAGGTTACTGGTTCCTAGTTACCGGTGTGCTGGTAACCAGTG